GGGGGGGTAAATCTGTGATAGGCACCCTTATCTCCAGAATAACCCAGGATCCAGGTTAGAAATCTTTCTTCTAATGAACTGATGATGCACCTGGGAGAAGGACCTTGAAGACATGAAGAGAGGAATGATTTTTTCCAATTCTGAAACAATTTTTGGGAATTGTCTCTACATTTGGGATGTTCACATGAGTCCAACTTTCCTTTTAGTTTGGATCAAATAAAATCCACTTGTTTAGAAGCTCTTTTAAATGTAGTTGTTTCAATGGGGAGATTTACAACACAGTGTTGCCTCTCTAATAGATGTAAGCCTGGATGAATTAAGAAGGTCATTTAAATACTGTATATGGATTCTTTAAAATATACTTTTCACTTGTTCAATGAATTTTGTATATATTTTCCAGAATGTATATTTTATTTATAACACCCGCCCCCCCAAGTCCTACAATGTTTCTTCATTGTGGTGGTGGGTTGTTATTGGGAGGGACTAATGAATAATGACAGGACTGTGAAACAAGAGTATATACATATGCCCCAACAGGGTCACCCAAGGCGTGAAGTTAATCCCAGCTGCCCATTTAAGGCAGGGAGGCACTTGTATTGGTCAGCAGTGATACAGGCAAATGCTGGAAGTGAATTCTCATTTTAGTGGCAACAATAAAGGCATAATTTACACTGCAAAGGAGAAGACAATAAGCCACGATAAGACAATAAGACAATTAAAAATAAAAGAATATAGTAAAGAAAAAGAAATGAAATATATAAATGACTTCCCCTTTCATCACAAGTATAAATAATTTTAGTAACGTATCGCCTTCTCTTAAAATAAAACAAACATTCTCTTCTTCCCATATCCCATCTCTTATTTATAAACAAATCCTTAAAGACTCATTGTTGCAGTCCTTATATCAGCAAAAGTCCATTAAAGGTTACCAGAGATAACCTTTAACCTTGATCAAATAAACCAACTTTATATTCCTTCTTTTTACTTTTAACAGTGTTTGATCTTTAGTCCCTTCAAATAATGTCTTAGAACTTGATTGCTTTTCATGTTCATCAATGCAGGAAAAGAAAGTCTGAAGCTGCAAAGACAGTATTGCAGTGGGAACACAGATCATCAAAAGCATGAATATGGGAAAGTGCAACACAGTGAAAGATGAAATCCATCAACTACACATTGATATGAGGCATCAGCAAATTGAAATGGATCGGAATTGGACACTTTCAATCAGAATATCAACTGTTTACTACTCATGACATGAATAAAAAGAAGAATTGGCACTGCTTTCATACTATCAAAGAATACAGCAAAGGTGGTACATGGATACAATGCAGACCAACTAATATTAATTAGATGTCACATACAGCCCTTTAGTATCATGATTATCCAAGTGCCTGCTTCAACCACTGATGGAGAAGAAAGTCTTTTGTGGTTATGCTCAATCTGAAATTAATAGAACATGTAAACAAACACTTCTGTATTTCATACCACAAATTCATGCATAAAACATTGTATGCTATCATGTATTTCTTCCATGTTAATTTCCATATTCAAGACTGGGGTTACTACAGACTAAAGAGTAGCAATAATATTGTTTTCTTCTAGAGCAGTGTTTCTTAAACCTTTTTTCTCTCAGAACCACTTCCTACTTTTAAAAATTATGGAGGACTCCAAAAGAGCTTTTGCTTGTATGGGTTATATTTATCAATATTTACCACATTAAAAATTAAGATTGATGCATTCACTGCTGCTACCACTTTGATGAGATTTAAATATTATATTATTTTTCAACATAGGATGGCAAACAGTTTTGATTTTGTGGACCCCTCAGAGGGTCTCAGGGGACCCCCAGGGATCCTAGAACCACATTTTAAGAAACACTGCTTTAGAGAATACATTGAAGCAGATTGACGGAATGTTTAAATAAGTGTGGAATGGTAAAAGCTGATGACCAAACCATGGGAAGAACTTGGATCATCAGAATTTCCATCATTAACTTTGGTTGGGATACCTCTCCCTCAGACTGAATTGATGAACAATCTGGGGGTCTTTTTGGACTCATGGCCTCTTGAGGAGGGGACCCACCATCCCAAACACTACCTCCTTCCTCAAAAAAGCTGACAACCTTTTGAACTGTACTGTTTCCCAACAGATTTCTAGTTGTAATTCAAAGTGCTAGTTTCAGCCAGTAAAGCCCTACATGACACAGTGTCAGAATTCAGTCCTCAACCTATCTCCAATGGTTTCTGCCCATCCCGTCAGGTCTGGCAGCATGGACATGCTCTCAGTCCTTTCTACTGTCTGCTATGGACGCTGCCCTTTGGAACAGGCTCCCCCTGAGGTCTGGACAGCCCACACTCTGTTGTCTTTTTGGAAAGCTTTAAAAAGCTCTATGTTCAGGTTCTATGGCAGGATATTTGGTGCAGCCTGGTTTGTGTTTTTGCCTAGTACTGAATGCTGCCTCCAGCACTTTCCTACTTTGTGATTTATTTCAGTGATCATAACATATATTCAAATGTCAATTTGCCTCTCTGATAGATTCTTCACTGGAAAATTGTTATGTTGGTGACACATTTAAGGAAAACTTTTTTTTGTTCACACAATGTACAGTACTTGAGTACAAAATAATTTAAAGATAAAATGCCATGATGTATGAGGAATAAACTATATATAGTTCTTTAAAAATGTGAATCAAAATGTCTACATCAAATGAATGTTCCAAGGAAATACAGGAAGAAGGAGAAGGGGGATGAGGAAGGATAAGAAGAGAAGGAAGGAAGGAAGGAAGGAAGGAAGGAAGGAAGGAAGGAAGGAAGGAAGGACACTATAAACTTCAGATGAACCTAACCCAGTAAATAGACCTTTGAAGTGTTTTTATTAAATAGCAATAAATACAAATACAAAAATGCCAGCCCTGCCCATTTACTGTAGTGTCACTTCGTACTGATCTTACCCACCACAGCCCTTGATAGCCTTTCCATGCTGAGAAAATTACTTCATGAAAGGATTCATTCATTCATTCATTCATTCATTCATTCATTCATTCATTCATTCATATCACAAGTCTGGATGGTTTACCATATTTTAAAAGAGTACAAACAACATGATATAAAACATAGACAGTAGCCAAGGAACCAAGGCAACGAAACTTCAAGTCCAGGAACCATTGACTTGAACACACATGAAAATG